GCGCGTCCGCGTCACGTGACCCCGCTGGAATGTACGGCTCGTGGAAGCGCCCCATTCAAGTGCGCGGCCTTGCCCCGCCCCCTCGCCAGGGCCCCGCCCCCTCGGAGACGTCAAGGGCGTGGCCCGCGGCAAGCGCGCGGCCCGGCCGGACTGGGTTCTCGCCTTGGCCTAGGAGCATGCGCAGTCTGAGGACTCCTGGCTGCTGCCCACGTGACTGCTGCAGAGCGCTTTCCCCACCTGAGCCGCAGGTTTCTGTGCAGACCCACGCTTTGCTGTTGCGTGGCGCGGCGTCCGGCTGGCTAGGCGCTCTCTGGGCAGGCCTTAAAGCTTAGAAAACTTGCATTTTTAAGAAAGCCTCCGGGCTAGGGATGGAGGACCAGGCGCTCTTAAACCTGTATGGCCTTTGCAAGGCTGTGGGTCCCTGTTCCTGCCTGCATTGGCCACCGCCCTCTTTTCAGTTCAGTTCCTTGGAACCAGACGTTTTAGGGCCGACCTTTCCTCTCTAGGCTTTTTCTGCCCTGCTAAGTGAAAACCAGCTTTTCTGCAGCCCTAGTTCATGTCAACTCGGAAATACGTGGGCAAAAGAAAGGCTTTCAGACAGCATTTCTCGGCCCACCAAAATACCATTCAAAACACCTTGAATACATGCGCGGACGCTAACCATCGGTCACAGGCAGTAGAGAGGTCACAGCCTCCATCCTGGGGCAGGGTGAAAGTAGAAAACACGGAATTCTAGTGACCCCCCCGCCCGCCTTTGTAAAGGGAATTCAGAATATTCACCTGATAGTGAGCAGCTTTTGCTATATTCTGAGCTTTGATCGAATACTAAATTTACTGGCACTAAACATTAAAATTGAAGTTAGAGGCTATTGCACCGTTTTAGAGATGGGGTTAGGGTGTGCCCTACCTAGGATGTCAGATCCGTGAATGGGAAGACCGTCTCGCTCATTGCTATACCCGGGCACCGTGCCTGGCGCATCACTACCCACTAAAGGACAGAATGGATGCATGGATGAGAGTTGAGAGAAAACAAGTTTCAAAGGACTCTCAGATTGAAGAAGCCAGAATTCCTATCCCGGTCTTTTAACTCTAACCAAGGTTTTTGATTTGCCCTTGAGTCACTCAGGTGACTACAACCTGCTAGGTAAGTTAATTCAGGAAAAGTTAAATGAGGAAGCATCTTTTCAAATTCTGGTGACTACTTATTAAGAGCTTGTACCCCTCGGGGCTAACTAGAAAAGGGAAATTAGATTGTGCCCCCAACTGTCCTTAACCCTTCAGTAGGTGGGATTCTGAAACAAGAAAATACTCTTAAAAGCAAGGTCATCCTCAACTAGGTGTGGTGATATGCACTTGCAAGCAGATCGATTCGGAGGCTGAGGCAGGAGGACAGCTAGCTCAAGGCTACAGAGCCAGGTGGAGAGTAACCAGAATATCAAGACTCTGCCTTAAAAAAAAAACTCACCAGATAAATAATCCTCAAGTACTATTTGCTTAATACTTAGTGTGCGCCTAGTAGTCAGATTTCTGTGTGCCTGAGATATACAGTTTAAAGGAGGAAGAGCGGGCTGGGAATTTAGCTCAGCAGCACAGCGCTTGCTTGGCAAGCGCAAGGTCGTGAGTTTGATTCCTGGTACCGGAAAAACAAAAAAGAAGAAGAAGAAGAAAAATTTACTTTGGCTGTACTTGGCTGGCTGCAAGACAGAAATGTCATAGCACAGAGGCACAATAGAAGAAAGCTTCCCACCTTGCCGCAGCTGGAAGGAGAGGGGCCGGGGTGAAGGACACACCTTTCCAGGTAGCGTCCCTGTGACCTGCCCGCTAACAGCTCCTTCGGCTCTGTGTCTTTATTGTGCTGTCCTGGCTACCTTCCTGTCCTCAATCGACTCAAAATATTTGCCTTTCGTTGTCATGCAGCCCCAGATCCGTGAACAAGGTGGGCGAGCACCATCCTAGTGTTTCTAGGAGCCGACTTTCTGTGGAATGGCGCTGGGCAGCGGCGTTCACTGGATTTTGTACTGCACCTCATAAAGACAGATTGGAAGGAGGACTTCCAAAACTGCTTCATAAAACGGCAACAATGAAAAAAAAAGTGGAACAACGGTGGGATAAGTGTGTTTGGAGGAATAGGGGAGTGTTTTGAGGGAGATTAATGGCAATGTGTCTTAGTAATTTTGTTGTTGTTGTTTGTTTTTGTGGGATTTTTTTT